ACTAATGTAGTATGTGATAGTAGTACTGCAATCACATTAAGGAAGTGCTGTTATAATCTAATTGAACCTCTTGCTTCAGTTGAACAGCTCAATAAATTGCAAGTCATGGTAAGCCTACCTATGCCTATCTAGGCCTATAGAGTAAAGGAATGTATGTGCTGCCAGGAACAATCGCCTACTACGGACCTTGGACTACTTTCCTAATGTTTACCTAAGAAATAGGCTAGCCTAGGGTAGGCCTAAGCTATGGTTAGCACTAGCAGGGCCTAGTTTAGGCCAGCTCCTAGGCCTATAGTTTTCCAACATAACCAAAATATTAATAAGATATGCTTAGGGCCTACTATCAATCGTTGTTGCCAAGCTCCGCGCTTCCGCCTACCTTTGTACAAAAGTCGGATGGAGAAAAAAAGCTGAAACACACCTGGCTTTTTCACACGCTCTGCTGCTTCTAAGAGAGGGCGACATATTACCAACAGAGAGTTCAGTTTCAGTTTGTTTTATTTGGCTCTCACTTTTTAAACAGTGGTACACACAAAAATGTGGTGCGTCCATAAAACATACAAATTACAAGTTGAGAAAAATACAAACAAAAATAATACAAAACTATCGGTGAGAAGAGAAATACATAGCTAACTAGATTACAGATTAACTAGAACAACAAAAATAATAATAAAAATCAATAGCAACAACAAAATTAATGAAAACAATAATAATGAAAATGAATATAATAATAAAAATAATAATATAATAATAAAAATAGTAATATCATACTGTAATATTAATTTAAAAGATCAATTACAAGCAAACACAGATTGAGATGTATTGTACAAGGAGTAACCATGAAATATGAAATCAAAGGGGATTTTGGGATACCATTTCGGCTTTTACCATCAGTTTTATTGGTTTTAAATTTGTTAACATTACAAACTACAAATTAATAATTAGTTGAGAAAAAAAAAGTAAATAAAAGAGGAACATACATGTGTTTCAAAGGAAACATGTTGTTTGATCCATTATAGAGGGGGGTACATGGTTACTTCATTGTATTGTATACATATTTTTTCTAAGTGTCCAAGCGGTAATGAGGTTTTTTTTTACAGTATTAATGATCAAAAGTTTTGTCTAAATAATCAATATTAATCTCTGTTAAACTGTCTAAAAACAAATGATGTTTATATTCCATAGAGCCTTTTTCAAAGTCATCCCAAATCTGTTGGAGATCCCAGTAAATCAATTCATTTTTTAATTCTTCAAATAGGTTATCTCTGATTGTTTGAAGTCCATTACATTCGAATATAAAGTGGTCGACTGTTTCTATTTTATCGTCATTGAGAGCACGCACAGAATGCAGAAGTAAATCACATGATACTGTACTTGGGGATTAATAATTTTTTGTGGTGGCATGAGAAAGCATATTAAATATGCTTTCTCATGCCACCACAAAAAAATTTTCAAACAGTGACTTTCAAAAATATAGGCTTTTAGACAACTATATTCTGGCAATCACGTCCATAATTCAATGCCCTAATTCCTGTCCTACTTCGTGCCGGGATCCAGGATTCCGGAAAACTGAGGTTGGGGGAGTCTATGATTGACTATTGTTTGGTGGCTGAAGGCTTGAGTAGACCTTTTTTGAACAGTGACTTTCAAATACCGCAAATACATATGAGAATTTCTTCTGATGCCGGTCAAACCTGCGGGAGGACAATGATATATTTTGTTTGGCAGCATTCTCTCTAAATAATGTTAGGCCTACATGTTTTCCTTGGAAATATCCAAATCAGATTACACCTGCATAATTTGTTTAAAAGAGAAGTTTGACAGTCCCTTTAATTAAATTTTAAATTGGAAGTTATTTTTCCCATTCAAAAATAGGCTCCAGGCAGGGATTCTCACCCAAAACCGCGGCGCACCGTATTTATTCGAATAAAGGCCCCACAATGAATAAACGCCCACTCGAATAAACGCCCCCTCCAAAGCTTCATTTGGAATAAACACTCTCTCGAATAATCACCTCGGGGCATTTATTTTTTCCTCCGTAAACTCCCTAAATGGCTCACAAAACCAACTCCCTGGCAAAACTAATGGAAACAATCATTCTCAATCGGGTTATCACGAATTATTGCTTAATAAATTACCATATTATGGAATAAGAGGCGTGGTTCTTGAGTGATACCGAAGCCATCTTAACGAAAGAATACAATTTGTACAAGTTGGAAATTGTCTGTCTGAGAAACTAAGATAGTGGAGCATGGTGTTCCACATGGGTCCATTCTTGGACCCCCGCTGTTTTTTTCATTAATTTTTATTAATGACATGTTTTCTGTAAGCAATATTGTTGATTTAATTATGTTTGCAGATGACACAAATATTTTTTTACAATTACTGCATTTACGAACAATGGAAAATGGACTTGATAAAATTGGGAAATGGTTTGAAATTAATATATATTATCTCGGTATCCTTTATTCATAAATGCAAACAAAACAACTACAATATCAAATCCTTAGCAGCCAGAGGCTGAATTGGGGATTCAATTCACAAAATATAAAACCTGAATTAAATTTACAATAAGTCATTATCATTATTAAGATCAATTAAAATAGTCAATATTATTATTTTAATTAGTTACAATTATTATTTAAAAATTTTGATATTAATTAATATGTACTAATTAATTAGGTTAACTATTAATATGTCAAAGACAACGTACATGTTATTCAGTGGGAAAATATTAATATTGATACATTCCAACTCGTACTTTCCATAAATAATGTTAAAATAGATTAGGGTACCTTATACTAAATTTCTTGGTGTCATCATTGATGAAAAGTTTAATTTTAAAAACCATACGAATGCAGTTTCCTGTAAAATTTCTTCAATCATTGGTGCCATATGTCAAATAAAAAGTGCAGTACCATGTGAAGTTTTACCTACCATATACAAGACACTTATATTACCTGTGATAACATACATAATTATCATTTGGGGTACGGGAAATAAAGAAAATATGGACCGCCTTTATTTACTCCAGAAAAAAAAACCCCTTAGAATAATTTGCAATGTCAATTTCCACCATCCCTCTGCACAGCTCTTTGTTAAAACAGGTACAATTGAAATATTTGATTTATATGAAAACAGTATTTTGAATTTTATGTTTAACTATAATAAAGGAGGGTTAACAAAATCTTTTAATTCTTTATTTAATATCTTTGATACCTATCATACGTATGACACTCGAAATAAAGAAAATTATTGTATAAAATTAAAATCAACCAGTATGGGTCAGCAAAGTATAACATATATAGGGCCGAAGCTTTGGAATAAACTTATGCTAGAAGCATAAGAGAGTGTACAATTATCGATATTTAAAAAAGAATTACTAATATAAATAAGAACATAAATAATTATTAACAAAAAATGTATTCTTGTGAAAATAATGTTTGTAGGGTACGGTATGTCTTACCTATATATAATGGTTTTCTTTAAATGTTTTATTATTATTATTATTATTATTATTATTATTATTATTATTATTATTATTATTATTATTATTATTATTATTATTATTATATAGTTCCTATACATCATATTTTGTGATTACGTGCATGCGTGTTGTGCGCGTGTATGTGTGGGTTTATGTATAGGCCTATGTGCGCGTGCGCATGCGAACATGTGCATCTACAATTGTGACTGAATTGTTAACTAATTTGTTATGTAGTAGAATTTTTTAAATTATTAACTATATTATTATTATTTGTAATTGATTTGTAAGATTATTTATTTTTTAAGTTATGGGCGCCACAGTTCAAAAGCTTGTATTGTAGCTTGTTTGTGGTGGGCCTTTTTTCACACCATTATATGTTCTTTTATGTATTGACTACCGGTATTTGATTGTGAAAATAAACATTTCTCAGACTCAGACTCAATACATTCTATTAGTAGGCCTATATCCTACTTCAGTAGAATTACATTTTTTTTTCTAACCTGGTATGGATTAATAAGTCTTTATAATCACGAAATAACACATATTGATGATGTGTTGTAGTTCCGCATTTACAATTAAATCAAAGGGCGCCTATTAGTATAGGCTTACGTATCCATTTTACACCTCTAAGCGTTTCCCTCGAACATACGCTACCCTTGCCAAAACCCACCTCAATTTTCAACCATAAACGCCCCGGGTGTTTATTCGAATAAATACGGTATAGGCCTAACTATTATATCATTCCAGGCCTATAGTAACAATCCTCTTTATTACACCGAATTTAAAGTAAACGTACATCATGCCCGAGTTTCTAAACATTATTATTTTTAAAGACTAAAGCAACTTGAAAGTATGATAAGGTTTAACCAGGGAGATGTAAAAAAATATTTTTACATCTCCTTGGTTTAACCAGGGAGTTGACAACTCCCTGGTTTAACCATCCTTCACGGTACGGTATAGCTTAACCATATTTGTATCGCATTCATATTTTAATGCATGGATATGAAATCTGTCACATGACCGATGTCGTCAGCTAACCAGTGTCAAAAAATAGGGTTCATCGTTGAGGGAGTGACAAACAGATACAAGACGTACATGAAGAATGAATTTTTGACTTTTGGTTTTTGTCATCTCATTATTACGATACGCACAGCATTAATCAATAGCCCGAAACGCACTGAATACCATACTTAAAATTCACATGTAATATTACACGCGCTATTCTCGCTACAGCGATTGTAGAATACCTGTACGTTGTGTTGTAGTGAAGAAATAAATTATCTGGCGAATTAACATAGATTCAATTATTACAATGGACATGATGTCGTCAACTCCCACAATAACAGAAATGGCGTGTTTCTTTTAAAATGTGAGCTTAATCTTCGGTGTTGGCCATGGTTCAGCAAATCAGAACGGAACACTAAATTTTGAATAGGTGGAAAATATATATTTGGCCGACGGAGAAGATGGCGTAATTGTATCAGATTTTGTCGACTGACGTCTTGCGCAAAATGGGAAAGATTCGGTCGTTTACTATCGTGTTGGATAATTCTCATCCGGTGTACAGAAGCGGTGAGTACGTGAAAGGAAGGGTGGTAACAAACCTCAAGGAGCCATGTCATCTTGAACTTGTCCAAGTGGTTTTGATTGGTAAAGCTAAGGTAGGAGACAGTTTCTCAAGGACATTTCAGTGTTTACAAATATTAAAATTCATTAAAAATTGACGTTATATCTTAAATTATGGCCAATCCCACACCCCCCACCCCACTTCCTACAATCTTTTGTATTTTCTGCATGATTACGCAGTAGTCATTTCATTTCATTTGATTTGTCTCGGAAAACATAAACAAGATACAAAAACAACTGAGAGGTCCCAACAGCAAACTGATCAAACTATAAAAAGGGTCTCCACAATAACATAAAATACAAATGCCAACTGCAGAAGCGTACGGTATACAAAAGGGCACACAAACGTGATAATAATAATAATAATAATAATAATAATAATAATTAATAATAATAATATTAATAATAATAATAAATGATAATGATAATGATGATAATGATAATAATAATAATAATAATAATAATAATAATAATAATAATAATAATAATAATAATAATAATAATAATAATAATAATAGTAATAATAATAATAGTAATAATAATAATAATAACATTACACGAGAACTTTGAGATTTCAAAGATATATTTAAGTAATGCGTTGAAAATATATATTGTAATTCGAAAGTCTGAAAACGACAAATTTTGGAGGACATTAAGGAATTATGCTGATAAAAAAACAAAGGAAGGATGATGACAGTATCCTCTCGACAAATACCAATATTTTAAGTTGGTCATCTGAGAGCTATTTCAAGCCAATTTTGTTATCATCGTAATACAATAAAACATTAAATTGAATACCGGACAATTTATAAAATTATGAACTTATATAAGGATCTGTTATTAGTGTTAACGCAGTGACACACAAACATTTCCTTACTCAAACAAAAAGTTGGCATACTGATCAATTTTGAGTATAGAGTATACTGCTATTTATAGCAGGATACCGTACTCTATGCTGTAGTCGATCGAAAAGTGACGTCATATCCGTAAGTTTTAAGTTGTAAGCTTGGATTCGGGTCTCGGGTTTCGTCGTGGTAGCTGTCATTTGTCTTGTTGGGTGAAGCATATTCCGCATTTATCAGTAATCATATATGTACAGTGAAGTGTAGTAAACACTTTGGTGTGCAGAGGTGAGACAAGGTTCAAGAAACACATAAATTCTCAGAACCTTTAACTTACTTGACTTTAACGCATCCAATATAGCTAGCATACACTACTTCAAAGCAAAATCAAATATGGCCCATTAATCCAAATTGAAAGGCGGCTGTAACATTAATAAAAACAAGGCTATGTCGTTGCTATTGCAACCACCCATGGGTTCTCCAGTGAATACTAATGAGGTACATTTTGGGCCTTGCACTACTAAAGGTATAGCATAAACGGGGCCAAATATTGGTATCTTGTAGGCCTAATTGTACATTATATCGCCTTAAAGTTAAATCCAAAGAGAGTAACATTTGCAATAATTATCAACAATAAAAAAAATGTCTTAATTATACATGTCTATATACATCTATATGCTTTAAGTAATCATATTAATACAAACAATCATCGTTTCTTAAAATAGTTCTTCAGATAAATCCAACTTTACAGCTGTTGTTTAAAGCCATTTTCATCATTTTCTAAAAATAATAAGGTGCATTTTTAGGCAAAATCTCTTGAGATGTGTCCTGCCGGATATGCTGCTTGCTTCAGTACGTAGGGCTGAAGATGAGCAAGAATATTGCACCAGATGCCACACTGTTTTATACATGCTTTTCATTGTGTTTTAATTTGACAATTAGAAATTCAATAACATTCATAAAAAATACTTTTTACTCATAATACCAGCTAACATTTTTCCAAATAAGGAAGTTATGCAATTAAATGCCTCCTTTCTATTGAATGCGGCAACATTTTCTATGTAATGCAAATAAAATAAAGACAATTGCCCTGTAATTTACAACAAGACGAATCACCCAACAAGGCACTCCTTCACTTGCTTGTTAGGGCCTAGTTCATTAACTACGCTCTAGCTAGATTCTAAAATACTTACATTTACAACCAGACGAATCACGTACCTTAAATGCTCGAATAAGCGCCGCTCTCTTGAATAAGCGCCGCTCTCTTGAATAAACGCCGCTCTCGATTAAGCGCCGCAACAGAAGTGATTTTTTTTTGTTAAGCGCTGCTCTCGAATAAACGCTGCGGCGCTTAATCAAGAGTCCCTATATGTTACCCTCTGTGTGATGAAACAGCGTTTTTAATACAATGTTTATAGAGTGTTAAAATGAATTTTAACACAATGAAGACACAAGCATTTCTTTATAAAGGTTTTTTTACGATGATATAAGACCTACGATAGGCCTAGGCCTACTGAACTACGGGAATACTGTACGTGAAATAGGTAACATGGGAACGGGCACGGAAAGCACCACGCCAATATTTTTTTGTAAGCGCCGCTCTCGAATAATCGCCGCACTAAAGCCTCCAAAATTTTATGAGCGCGGCGGCGCTTATTCGAGCATAAATACTGTATTTACCTGATTGCGTGCGTGTTTGATGCTAAACAACTGCTGTTTCATCATTGCACTTTTCTATTTTTAATAAAACCAATTTCTTTCTTTAATGATTATGGCATATTTAGATGGCCGGAAATGGTAATCAAAAGATTTTAATAAAATAATTTTCTTCCCACCCCTCCCCATTTTATTCTCATAAGCTTATAAGCAGGCGCGTAACAGGGGTCTTGGGATGGGGGGGGGGGGAAGNNNAATTTTCCCGGTTAGTAATTTATGACTTGGTGTGATACCACCCCCCCCCCCCCATATAGAAATCAATACGGCATAGGGCTTATTTTATTATTAATATAGGCCACACACGTGTGTTTGAAACTAAATATACCGGTAAGCATTTTCATCGTAGTTTTATTTATTACAATCATATGCTTATTCTTTCACTATCATAACACATTGAGGCCCTTCTTTTATGTAAAACGATCTATCTTAAATTTTCTTTCGCAAGTTTGGGACTATTATGTTTTTAAATAACTTAGAAGGTAAAGCGAAGCGAAGCGCGCGAAAAAGTTTTGTGTTTTTAATTCTAATTTTGTCGGAATTGATCCAAACTCCCTAAATGTGCAATTTTTAGAGGAAATTGGCCTACCTCAACAAGAAATGCTCTTATGTTATATATGGCCACACCAGTTTTTTTAAACTGAATATAAGCATTTTCCTTATGGCTTTATTTATTACAAACATATTCTTTCAAGATCATTACACATTAAGGCCCTTCTTTTAGGTAAAACGATCTATCTTAAATTTTTTTTCTTGAGTTTGGGACTATGTGTTATAACTTAGAAGGCAAAGGAGAGCAAGCACAAGCTTTAACATTAAAAAATGCGCGTGAAGCGCGCGAAAAATATTTGTTTTTTTAATTCTAATTTCGTCGGAATTGATCAAAACTCCCTAAAATGTGCAATTTTTAGAGGAAATTGGCCTACCTCAACAAAATATGCGAATTAAAATTTGAGGTTTTCAGGCACATCCCCGGGTGAAAAGGGCATTCAATGGGGAAAGATATTCCACAGATGGATATTTTCCCCTTGTCCCCCGGTGGTTACGCCACTGCGGAGAATATCTGGTGGCTTAGATCAAATGTGCTATGGACACTTTTTGAAGTGGAGAAGGGATTGCAGGCCGGGGTATTGTGATATCTGTTCATTATATCTTCCTTTTTATTCTTGTCTTTATTTTTCTCTTCTCTTTTTCTTTTCCTTTTTCCCGACTTCTGACGTGTCTTTAATTACTTTTACGTTCTTCAAAATTCAAGGTTTTCCCATCTTGAAAACGGCCAGGTAATTTTTTCTCATTGTTATTACAGTAAATAGGGCTTATTTGTGTATACATACATAACAATTTAAAAAAAATGAGTAGTTGCATACGAATTTTCCAACGAATCGATGAATCCCAAAAAGAAAGGGGGGGTCCGGGGGTTCTTCCCCAGGAAAATTTTGATTCCTAGAAGGCGGGAAATGAGCTTTCCCGACTTCTGAAGTGTCTTTTAAATTAAAGTCATTAAAAAATACTTCAGAAGTCGGGAAATCTCAT